AGTAAGAGATGGTGTAGTTGGGTAGCAGTGAGGGGTGCAAAGTTCCTGCAACGTGCACGTGCAAAGTTTGCCGCCTGGGTGTTTTGGCGTGCTCAGCAGCAATTCCTATTGGCTTTCGAAAGCCAATAGGGGGAGTAGCACAGCTCAGGCAAAAGTTGAAAAAAACCATCAAAAAAGGTCCCGGAACGCCTTCTGGGCGTTCTATGAGGAAAAAAAGCCCTGCAGACAAGTCTTCAAATAAAGAAAAAGAGGACATTTAGGAGGACATTTTCGAGGGAGGACAGAACTCACAAAAGGAGGACTGTCCTCCCAAAAGGAGGACGGTATATGGAAAAGGAGGACATTTAGGAGGACAATTTTGAGGGAGGACAGAACTCAAAAAAGGAGGACTGTCCTCCCAAAAGGAGGACGGTTGGTCACCTTAAATATAAGCAATTCCAAATTAAAAACTAAAAATTATTCATAATCTAAATAATACTTTTTAATCCCATATCAACTCTAATCATAATTTATCCATTAAATCCCATATTTACTCTACATGTAATTTATCCATCTTCTCCACGCCGAGGTGTATATTTCTTTTAAACAACCATTCATCCATAATAAACACAAGTTTTTCCCTCCAATATAACCCCACCAACAAACGTACATTCAATAAACTTGGCTCTATGTTTCCCCCCTCTTTTTTTCCACCCTTAAGTAAATTTATTAATACCCTCCTACTTAAAAAGTTTTAGCAAACCATTCATCTTAATCACTAAAATTCTCACCAACAGAGATCATTAGAATTTAAATTCTTTTACACCTTTACCCATAATATCTCATAATTATTTTTATACACTTTAAATTAAAAAAATTATAATATATACTCCCAAATATTTAAACTTTTCCACTAAATCAACACCTTCTATTATTCTTTTTCTTTATATCTACATACTACACAAGTCATTCACTATTCCTTTAAAACATACTGAATCAAACTACCAGCTAAACTAACATTTATTGTTCTTTTTCTTTACATCTACATATTACACGAATCATTCACTATTCCTTTAAAACATCTTCTATCTCAAAAAACTACTACAAAAGTTCATCATTTCCTTTTCTTTATTCCAACATCCGCCTTCTGCTGTTCTTTTTCTTTACGTCTATAGGCTGCATGAGTCATTCTCGATTTCTTTAAAAAATCTTTTGTCACAAGAGAATGCTGCAGAGGTTCAGCCTGTATGTCTCCTACATCAACCGGCTGCTCTTCCAACTTTTCTTCTATTATCTCAGGTCGTAAAGATGATGGAGAGCCCGCCTTCAAAACAGAAGTGTAAAAATCTTTTGCCTTTGAAATTGTATTAAGTCTATAATATATCCCCGCATAATTCACCACTATTCCAGCCGGTATCTCCCATCTGAACCGGACCTGTCGTTTTTTGAGCTTGTCAGCCAAAAAAGCAAGATCCTTTCTTTTTCTAAGAATTTTTGAAGGTATTTCTTTTAAAATTATAACATCTTGAACTGCAATTTGAAATCTCTGCTTATAAAAAGCCTGTAAAATTACATTACAAACTGATCTCCTAAAAAAATAAATAACCACATCTCGTGGCAAATTCCTCTGCCTCGCAACCCTTGAATTAACCCTAAAAACTTTTTCCGTCTCTCTCAGTATTTCTTCAGGCTCAGCCCCCAAAATGAAAGCTATATCTTTTACCACCACTTGTCTCAAATCCTCTTGCATGTTTTCCTTCATTCCCCTTATTCTTAAAGCAAATTCCATGTCTCTATATTGTAACATAGTAATTTCATCTTGTATTATTTCTACCTTATTTTCTACTTTGTCAATTCGAGCTTCCAGTTTTTCAAAATTTTCCACAGCATCATCAATGCGATCATCCAGATGCTCTATATGACCAACAAACTTTTGAAATGCAAACAGTATGTCCTCTCTCATTTCTCTGATTTTATTTTCAAAAAATTCCTCCATCTCTTCTTTAATCTGTCGTGCCATATTACCCAAGGCATCCTGTAGATCATTAAGGGTACATGCTGATGATGGTGGAGAAAGTGGTGGTACCTTAAACTTAACTTGCTGAGCTGTCTGCATTACTGGGAAGCTCGAGGCTTTAGAAACAACAGAAGCTCCGAGACACTTTGAAGCCATTTTAATTTTAAAAACCACTTATTAAAAAGTCTGCTAAAATCTTATAAAATCAACAAATACCAAAAAAGAGAAAAAAATAAGGGGAGGAAAAAAGACAAAAGCCCCCTAAAAAGAAAAAAAGAAGATTCTTGCATTTTATATAAATACAAAATCTGTTACATTGTTCCAAATAGAAGTTCCAGTCCTTTCACTCAAAGAATCAACATCTCAGCGCCATTTTTCACCACTCTTAATTGAAAAAAAAAGAAGATAAATTCTTTTCCAGAGTTAAAGTCTCAAAATAATCACCATTTTAATCTCTCCTGGTCAGCTCTGTCTGCTTTAAATTTTACTCACAAATTCATTTTAAGCGCAGATGTGGAGGCAACATCTAGCTTTGCCCTGAAGAAAAATCAAGGCAAAGACATCTTGGAATGTGGAGAACACCTCAGACTCCGTGGGAGCTCTCACCCTCCGACCACCAAAAAAAAAAAAAAACTTTGGGGTCTCGGGCAGCTCTACCAATATCTGAGGAAAGCTCATCTCCTCCTCTTCTCCTGGGGAGAGAGGTTCCGAGCCACGAGACAGCGGTTGCTCGCTGTCTCAGCAGGCTTTGACACATCCCAGGGCAGACGGCTGAAAAAAAGCTGCCATTGGCACGGCCGTCGCCACCGGAAGTCCATAGCTGCCAATTTCTTGAAGCTGAAAGATCTGCCTTCTTCTCTGTGCCAGAGTCCTGGCTATTGGCCGTGTCTGAGGCATTGAGCCATATTCCAGGTTATTAAGACCACAGAGAAAGAAATTGAAGGTTTTTCCCCTCTCCATATTGTTAAGTAGATTTTTGTTTGTAGTGTGGAATGTTTGTGAGGCACAAATGTCTTTGCATTAGCATTCTCTTATGACTTGCAACTTGCTTCTCAAAACCTATTTCCTGCTTTTACCCAACCCACAGGTGGTTTTATCCACTCACACATTTGGTGTGACTACAGTTCCCAGAATAGTTAGCCAGCATGGCAGTTCACAATTCTGGGAAGACAGCTCTGTACAAATCGTAACTGACTTTGTACAATTCCCGTGCAGTCATTTTGTTTATGATCTGATAAAGACTTTAAACTGCATTGTACAATTGGCATTATGCCACATTCAATGTTACTTTAACCCATAGTTCTCTTGCCTTTTTGGAGAGCTGTTTACAGACCTCTTCACAATTTTTCCTCTTGCTATCCTAGGCAAAAAGCAGGTTAGATACATGGTTTGCCCAGCTTCTTAATTGGTGGGATGGGTGTGACGTATAGTGCTACTATTTCAGGCTGTCGCTTGGGCAATGCCTGACAGTTCTGAGGTCATGTTAATTAAGGCCAACATGTTGAATTTAGTCTTTTTAATCAGCCTCCTAATAAAATTTAAGTGCTGTTTAGCATATGCCCAGTATGAGGAATGGGCTGCTCTCATGATCCTTCCTTCCTTCCTTCCTTCCTTCCTTCCTTCCTTCCTTCCTTCCTTCCTTCCTTCCTTCCTTCCTTCCTTCCTTCCTTCCCTCCCTCCCTCCCTCCCTCCCTCCCTCCCTCCCTTCCTTCCTTCCTTCCTTCCTTCCTTCCTTTCCTCCCTTCTGTATTACTGCCTGATTTCCCTCATCAAAAGGCCTGGAATAATATGAGCAGAATTCAAAGTTGGTGATTTAAGAAATTGTACTTGATGCCATTGTGGTAAATTCTTCCAGGGCATGAAAAACAGAATACAGAAATACATGTCTCCTCAGGAGGAATCTTTGAAAGAATGACAATTAAGCATGCTTGAATAACGCAGAAAGACTGTGGGTTCAGGAAGTTGAGGTACAACTCTGACTATCATGAAGTAGCAGGTCTTCACCTAACACACACAGGTTCCTTGTGGATTCAGGTTTAAAGGCTCAGTGCATTTCCAAAACAAAACAGAACAACAACAACAAAAAAAAACCCCCAAACATATCTCCTGAGCTGCTCCTCCTCCTTCTTCTTTTTCTTTTGGTGCCTTCAAGTCAGTACTGACTCCTAGACTAGTCCCTGCAGTTTTCTTGGCAAAATTTCAGGAATGGTTTGCCATAGCCTATTTATTACAGCTGAATGTAAGTGACTAGCCCAAGGTCACCCTGCTGGCTTTAGGCCTAAATTGGGACTAGAACTCATGATCTCCTCATTTCTAGCCTAGTGCCTTAAAACTACAACTACAAACTGGCTCCTGTGTTATATTTGCAAATAAATGTTTTTTCTGAATTGCTTAATCCTGACAGACGGAGCACTGATGAAATCCCAGGTGCTATGTTTTGTTCAAAGCTTCAATTCAAAATAATAAGTAGTAAAAACAATGACTTTCTACCACATCTTGCCTCCAAAAATGCAGGGACATTACTAGAGAGCAGCAAAAAGATACAGAAAACATTTAACCATTTGCTGATATTTATTGGTCATAGAGATTGCTGCAGCCCAGCCCACTGTTAGCCTTTCAAAGTTTGCATCACTTCATAGTTTGCATCATTTCACCTGATCAAGCCTGGTTTCAGAGAAAATAAAAAAATATATATCTGTTTAATATCTCCTTTTTTGAGGTGAGTGGAAAAGGTTAAACATAAGAAAAGTTTTTATAGTTAATACAGCCATAACTTAAATATCAATGAGAGCAGATTAAGTAAGCACTTATTCATAATATAGCTATCATTATGAAATAGCATAGGGTAATAATATTGTTTCAGACACATTATAGGAGCAAATAGCTAAGTTTTAGCCATGATGATCCACAGGTGGATCTTTGAAATAATAACTTGGAAGTTGTTGATTTTAATGTTAAATTGCTGAGCTTTTATTTATTATTTATATTTTGTTCTTTTTTATAGTTACCTTTGATCATTTTGAAATTCTCAGAGCCATTGGAAAAGGCAGCTTTGGAAAGGTATGTTTTTTGCAAACCATATACTTTGTTAACTACCTAAAGAAATAGTTCCTTCTTACCAAATAGGCATAAAATATTGTCCAGAGCTGCATGCTAAATCTTATTTTCTAAAGAACTAACAATTGGAGCCCTGCTCCTTCTATACGTAAAATCTTCCCAAGCTTCTGAATGTATGTATGTGTATGTGTATATGTATTTCTAGTAAATGCAAACCTTCTAGTAGAGCAAATTCAGACATGCTGCTTTCTGCTTCATTTTGCTCTTCCAATTCCCATCATGTTGTTTTTGTAGAGGATTTATATGAAAAAAAAAATGTCCACTTTAAGTATGTTTTTAGCCATCATATTAGATATAAGCATTCATGAATCTCTTGGGTTGTATTGTTCTGAGTGAACGTATCAGATACTACTGTATCTGCAGGACACATCTAAATCAGTAATGTGACCACCTGTGGATTCCTTCACAGAATGGATCCCTTATCATATCTCCTACATAGTCTCAGGCTGCAAAACAAAGAAAGAGGGTGAATATCAATGTGTCTGTTGCAGAAGGCATCAGAAATTCAGCAGTTTAATCTCCTCCATGGAAAAAGGAAACCGTATTCTAGCCTGCAAGCTATGGAGCTAAGGATTGTTGCTACATCTAATATAAAACATTGTCCAGCCCTATTCTATAGCTTCACCAGAGCACAACTTGGGGGGGGGGAGAGAACATTGAGTGGCATTTATTTATTTTAACACATTTATATAGTCAAAACATTAAAAATCACAATTAAAATTCACAACTTAACCTCCCCCCCAACCCTCTGTGTAGCATAACAAGAGAATCAGACAAACATTTGATGGGCTCTAAATGGGATCCCTGACAAAATGTCTTCAAGGTCTTGCAGAAAAGCAACAAGGTGGAATCAGTCATACCTGTGGGGGAATGATGTTCCAAAGGAAGAGAGCCACCACAGAGAAGACCATTTTTCTAGGTTCTACCAGATGTACTTCCTTGATAGTTGGGGCTCGCAACATGCCCTACCTTCTGGGTAGATGTAATTGAGGAGAGGTGGTCTATAGCTTGTATATTCATTTGCTCTCCATTTCATGTCAGAATTGACTTGTGAAAAATGATAGAGATCTTGCCCCAAATGCTATTTGTATGCTGTTTCAAAGACAAGTGGTTGGACAATGGTGAAACCTAAGAAACAGAGAAATAAAGCCTCTGACTACCTCTGGGTTAATTCAACTGGGGATCAGATTACTAATTAGAAGGACGTCTTTTAAACAATGGATTATTTTCACCTTATTCCTATGCATCATATTTCCTATGCAAAGTATGAGCTTCAATATTGGCAATTGAGCAGTCTTGATGGAAATATTAATGTAGGAAAACATAATTTCCCCAAAATGAAATTAGTCCCATCCCTTTTGACATTCCAAAAGACCCTTAAGGCCTGGTTGTGTTATCATTCCTGCGTCTCCCAGGGACCTGGAGGTGTGCTTAGATGGGTCCATTGTTGAAGTGACTATTTTTATCCTCTCTTTACCTAGGGGTTTGTATATTTCCTTTTTTATACTATTTATTTCTTAATATAGACATGTTATATATGTCATTTTTATATTTGTGGTTTTTTTTATTTGATTGTTGTGTATCGTCCAGACTCACTTTTGGTGAGATGGATGGCTCTACAATTTGATTAATAAAATAAATAAATAATAAATCAGCAGTGCCTTGCTGGATTGGACCCCTGGCCCATCTAATCCAGCCTTCTGTTCTCACCATGGCCAACCAACTGCATAAGAAATCCACTAATTTCCCCGCAGATGGTCTTCAGAGGCAATCATACTTCTTACACCTAAGAATACACACTAGGGAAATGAAGTTGCAGCACTGAAATGTTAACTTTTACCCGAGGATAGATTATAGAAGAACCTGCATTTCTGTTAAATATATTTGTTCTACACATTCCATTTTATGGAACACAATACTTTGCCTTATTCCTTTAGGTATGCATTGTTCAGAAGAAAGATACCAAGAAAATGTATGCAATGAAGTACATGAACAAACAAAAATGTGTGGAACGGAATGAAGTGCGAAATGTCTTCAAAGAGTTACAGATCATGCAGGGGCTGGAACATCCTTTCCTTGTGAACTTGTGGTAAGTTATGAGCATCCACCAATCAGAGTACTGCAGCTTCCATTATTTTTCCGAGATTATGTTGCCTCGGGTTCTCTGTAAAGCCTAGTTCTGTTTGTTTTTTTCTAACTACATGACTATTATTCATCCCTGCTGTTTTTCAGTGTTTATTGGTTTCCTTTTTTTGTTCAAATAACCCAGTTTTCTGAGTGGACTCTGAGAACAACAAGAGATTCATTCTAAAGCTACCTGTGATTCAAACTAATACTTTAAGTAGGACCTTCATAATAGAGCCCCCCCCTGCTTTCATCTCCTATTATTAAGTTATTGCTAACCTCAGGCTGCAAATTGCTGTATGTTTGATTTGTTGTTGTTATTGTTGTTCAAAAGAATGGTTCTTCAATGGTGCTGAATCTAGCAGGGGATCTTTTTGGACAGATTAATGTTGTAAAAGAAGACCTTGATTAGGCACATAAATAGTCCAATATTGAAATTAGCTAAAATTCACATATTTCAGCAGAAGGCTTAATTAGAATCTTAGTTCAGCTTGTTGGTTTTCTATGCTGATGTGGTAGACTAAGCAAGCTTCAGTACTGATTGAATAATTTTTATGAACTAATATATTGTCACAGTCAGTTATAGTGATATTGAACTTATTAATAATACAATGGGGATAATGATTATCCTGATTATTACCAATACCTTTAAATATATTTATGATTAATACTGGATATTCTATGCAAGGATGATAATATCTGGTATTTTTTTGTCACTTGGCGAGGTCTCCAGATTTCAAAGTGATGTAGAAATATTTAAAATTGAAGTCAAAAAACAATTTTAAAGGCATTAACTGTTTTAATATTTTAAGTATTGGATCTTGTGAATTCTTTAAAATTTTAAATTGAGAGAAATAAAAAAACTCTCAAATGCTGCAGGAAATCAATCATGATGTTAATCTATCTTGGGCTTCTTTCCTTCTCTGGCAAACTGTCAGAGAAGTTTGTTATTGGACCTAACATCCTTGTTTCAGATGTTTCAAAGTCACTTCTCCAGAATGTCACAGGAAAAACCGTTGTCTGCACAGTTCTGATCTTTACAGATACAGACAAATCCTGCCATATGGATATCTTTTCCAAAGTTTTCATTGCTGCTCTAATAAGTGCTAGTTGGAAATATGTTTCTTGACTACTGCTTCTGTACTATTGATAGTTGACTCTAAAAGAGAGAAACTGTCTACCACTTCAATATCTTCATTGTCAATTCTAAGACTGTAAGTGTTGGCATTAGTTTGGCCCTCTTTAATTTCAATTACATTTTTTTCACTCTGTGCTTGACCTTCATTTGCATTTTCAGCTGAGGATAGAAACAATGTGGATCTACCCCAAAATATTCCACAACTGATTACCTCTCTCTCATACATTAAAACCTCTTTTGTTGAACTTCAACTCCAAGAAACCCATGAAGTGGCTGCATCTGGAAAACCAATTACTACATTGGCATTAAGAGAGACAAAATTTTTGTTACCACATAGTGTACATTAAATCAAAAATCATGCTTGATTTGTTTTAATGCATTTACACATAGCTTGTCTTGTTGAATGCAACATTTTTTCCTAGTATTGGGAATGTTGTTTAGTCTGGACGGTCATATACTGTAAGCTGCCCAGCGTCTTTGGGAGTTGAGTAACCTTAACAGTTCTAATAATCTGGCTAGTTAACTAATATGCTGTATGACAACAATAAAAAGAGTAAGAACAATAATACTTTACAATGGAAAGCATAATTAGGTGTCACTGAGTTTGGTTTGAATCCCGGTGTCTTGACATGGCTTCAGTAATAACTTGTAGCCCTTCTAAGGGCATTCCTTCATTTCATAAATCATGTCTATCCATCTTATACTGTATATAGTTTTCTCTTTCTTCTACTTTTCTCAGTCTTGCCAGGCATAATATTTTCTTCTGGCCCATAATGGAAACCTGGGATTTCTTAAATATGAATGTGTTACAAAGCATTTCTGTGTGGCCACATTAAAATGGTGCCTTCTGATCCCTGAACATGAAGTAGCCAGGATACTTTGCCCTGTTTTGCCTACATAATTAAGCAGAGATGGCATTGTCTTTATAGCTTTAATGTGGGTTAAATTAAGGAAAAGTGATTGGTGGTTTCCTCTGGTTTCATTTGCCTTCCAAACACCACCAGCTGGCGGGAAAAAACTCCTGCCAATTGCTCTCCTTATTGTGAGCAGGGATGGAGAGAGATTCTGATAGATATCTGGCTTAGTGGCTTAGCAATGTCTCAAACTTTGTTCAGTTTTTATGCAAGTGTTTTGGTTGAGTACATTCAAAAGGCATGATAGAATATTGCTGTTATGGAATGATGTTAAAGCCATGTCCAAAAGGAATTGTCAGGCTTTCTTTGACTGCAGCCATGCAAAAGCTTTTGGCCTTTTGTTCAGATGATTTTTTGTTTAAGTTGTGGTAGTCTCTGCAGGAGGATTAAAAATAAATTTCCTGTGTTCTGCACAGGACAGTCCCTTTCTAAACTGGCAGTGAGAAGAGAATCACAGTCACCCTATAGATTCTCAGAACATTAAAGTCCAAATGAATTCAATCATCCTGCTTCCTGGAATGGACAAAAAGCTTGCTCCGATTGATCATCCTTACAGCTACTGAAAATAAATCACTATGCTGTAATTACAAAAGCAATAATCAGCAATCACAGCAGACTTGCTTGGTTCTACTTTTGCCACTGGATATTTAACTTTGAATGCTACTATCCCAAAAAATTGTTGTAGTTGGGAATGTGATCCTTTGAAATCTGGGGAGGCTGGTCTTTGGAAATAGAAAGGGATCCTAGCTGTTGTATTGCACTATGGACAGCCAAATGCTCCTTGAATCTGGCAACCCTATGGACACCTACTCAGGAGTAAACTGGAGTTTTATTCTCAGTTATGCTCTTCCAAAGCTGTTCTGAAGAGAGCATTGGAATGCCCTAAATAAGTAAGAATGACAGCTAGGTACTTTTATATTTTTGGTCAAAGACTCCAGCATTTCGTAGAACATGCCAGTCAAGTCTTAGACCATTTCAGGAATGCCTTCATTTTTTTTTGTTTTTAATTTGAATTGTAACACAGACAAAGAAGAATGATGGAATTTTAACTATCCTGATTTAGAATCCAATTCTCTTATCTCCCATTTGCTTTTTTTTTCCAAAGGGAGAATGTTCTTCCAAGGCGAACAGCAACTCTAGAAGATTCATCCAAAGTAGGGGTTAAAGTCAGAAGGGGAAGGAAGTTAATGCCTATAATTGTTGTTTACATTTTTAAAGGCAAACACGTATTTATTAATTACATCCAACTGAGTTTGTTTCTAGTTATCATAGGGAATAGTAAGGTAACCAACTTTTTTAAAATGAAAAGGAGGACACAAATAAATTGAAGAAAAAATATTGTAAATAAAAGAAACATTTCATTCGTTGCAACAATAATACAGAATACACTATAATACGATAAATGCATAATAAAAAACATTTGTAACAATAACATTTTATATTGTAATTATGCTTACATGCCTATTAATTATTTAAATTAGTACTTTTCCATTGAATGAATTTTTTTTGTCAATGTGTCATCTTCTAACAATATATTGGAAATATCTGAACAACAAATATCCTTCATACTGAATTTTACGGCAAGTGCTGCAACTAGAGTATCAACATTCAATCTCGATTTCTCACTTTTCCAAAAATCATTAGCAATTGAAAAAACCCTTTCAACTGCTGCATTAGTTCCAGGGCAGTACAACGTAAATTGAACAAGAATAAATAAATTTTCACATGGAATATGTTCATTTTACAAATGGCTGAATATTTCCACCCATCTTTTATCAATTTCAACGTGTTTATTTTCCCATTGTATTAATTTTTCAGAATTTAAAAATACATTCAGTCTTCTAATTTCTTCAAAGAGACAATTGCCGTCTATTTTAATGTCTGGCATTTCTTTAGATAAAAACTCAACACAAGATTCAATATCTGTCCAATATACTTGCGATGAAGTCAAAAAACACCATTGAAACTGTTATTTCCTGCTATGTTTGTTTCAGAGCATTCTTCGATATATTGAAAACATGTTTGGTAAAAATTCTGCACTTCTTTGATAAACTTTTCCATTATGCCCAGATTTGATTCCTCTAAGTCTGACAATTTTCTTTTTATAACTAAAGGAAGAAATTTTTCTTCAAATCGAGTTTTATATTGAAGGATAAAGTCATTCAAAATAAGACTAACTTCTGTAGCTGAAATGTGTTCCCCTTCAATCTTTTTAATTGTTTTGTGAAAAATAGATGCTTGATTATATACAAAATACACTAATATCTCAGATATTTCATTATTGAAAAACGATTCCAGGATTTTAGGACATTTGTCTAAACTTAAAAAATATGAACCGAGAGGCTCAAATAATTGTAGAACACTCTCTATAGCAGGTGTTAGAGCAAGCCATCTAACTTTTGAATATCTAAACGTTTTTTGTATTGAATATTCACTTCTTCACAAAATTGTTTTAAAGTAGCCACACAAACGGTAAAACAACTAAAATACAAATAAATTGTAGTTATTATTACTTCTATATCAATTGGCATGACACATGACGCTATGTTGATTGCATTTGACAAAATATGTGTATTACAACCTATTCCTAGTATTTTCTTTTGGAGTAAATCTTATAATTTTACATACACATTATTCACCCCTTTGCGTCTTCACCCACCAAAATTTGTGTTTGTATTATCAGCTGTTAGTGCAACAACTTTGCATTTCAAATTGTTTTCATTTATTACTCTGTATAGATGGTTTGACAAAATTTCAGCAGTTTCACCCTCAATGGATTCTAAATTTAAAATTTTTACTTGAATGCCCTTGGTAACATTAAAATATTTTACTAGTATTGGATATAATTTAGTTTCATTATGATTGGATGCATCAGATAAAACCATTATAAATGCTGCAGTTTCCAAGTCTTCT